ATTGAATGAATTTTTTTTCTGTCTGTTTATTAATGCGGACAAAGTATATCATCATTTGCATCTATTTAAAAAACCTGGAAGGATCTAGTTATATGTGATATTTCTTTGCATATTTCAAAACAAAATCAATCTATGAATTCCAACTCTAGATGACTTTGAGAGCCTGTAACCATACTGAAACATAAGGTCAAGTGAGTTAGACCTCAAAATATCCATTTATAAGTACTTACTTGGGAATACTGATATCTTTACAATATCCAGTTTTCCAATCCACTAAGGTATAATAGCCTTCAGTTTATCTAGGGCTAATTTAATTTTTCTAAATTATGTATTTAGTTTTCAGATTTATTTCTAGCTATGTAATAAGTTTAGGTGCTATTAAAAGAATTATTTTTTAAAACTAAAACAATTTTTAGAGCAGTTTAAGGCACACAGCAAAATTGAGCAGAAGGTATAGAGATTTCCCATATATCTGTTTCCCTCACATATTCATAGCCTCCCAAATATCAATCCCCCACAGGAGATGGACTTAACACTGACACATTATAATCACTCAAAGTCTATAGTTTATATTCCAGTTCAATTAGTGTTGTGTAGTCTATGGGTTTTGAAAAGTGTATAATGACATATGTACATCATTATGGTATCATACAGAGTATTTCACTGCTCTAAAAATTCTATGGGTTCTGCTTATTCAATCCTTCCTCCTCCCAAGCTCCTTAACAATCGCTGTTCTTTTTACTGTCTCCATAGTTTTGCCTTTTCCAGAATGTCCTATGTTCAAATCACACAGTAGTCTTTTCAGATTTGTTTCTTTCACTTAGTAACACACATTTAAGATTTCTCTATGTCTTTACATGGCTTGGTAGCTCATTTCTTTTTAGTGCTACATAATATTCCATTTTCTGGAGGTATCACAGTTTATCTATGCATTGACCTACTGAGGGACATCTTGTTTGATTCTAAGTCTTGGCAATTATAAATACAGCTCTTTAAAACATCTGCATATAGGTTTTTGTGTGGATGTAAGTTTTCAGCTCTTTTGAGTAAATACAAGGAGCACAACTGTTGAATCGTATAAGGAGTATGTTTAGATTTGTAAGAAATCACTAAACTCTCCACAGTTTGGTGGTAAGTGTGAGATATCATTTTCCATTCTCACCAGAAATGAATGAGTTTCTGTTGCCCATATCCTCACCAACATTTGGTATTGTCAGTGTTCTGGATTTGGGCCATACTAATAAATGTGTAGTGGTATCTTAATATTTTAATTCCCCTTTTTCTAATAGCATATGATATAGAGCATCTTTTCATATATTTATTTGTCATCTGTGTATCTTCTTTGGTCAGGTGTCTGTTAAAGTATTTGGTTTTTTTTTTTTTTTTTTTTTTTTTTTTTTTNTGGATAACTGTCCTTATCAGATACATCTTTTGTAAATATTTTCCCACAGTTCATGGCTTCTTTTCTCATTCTCTTGACAGACAGTGTCATTCACAATAAAGAAGCTTTGTTTTTTTTTTTTTTGAAAGAGAGTCAGAGCAGAGTGGGAGAGAAAAAGGGAGAGAGAGAGAGAGAGAGAGAGAGAACCCCAAGCAGATTCTATGCTCAGGGCAGAGCCCAGCACGGGGCTCCATCCCAAGACCTTGGGCTCATGATCTGAGCTGAAACCAAAAGTTAGGTGCTCAACAGACTGAGCCACCCAGGCACCACCACAGTGAAAATGTTTTAAATTTTGATGAAGTCTAGTTTATCAACCCTGCCTTTCATGAATTGTGCCTTTGGTGTTATACCTAAAAATGCATCATTGTACCCAAGCTATCTGGATTTACTCTTATCTACTAAGAGTTTTTTAGACCTACATTTTACATTTAGGTCTGTGATCAATTTTGAGTTAACTTTTGTGAGGGGTGTAAAGTCTGTGTCTAGATTCACTTTTTTTGTATGTGGATGCCTACTTGTTCTCACACCATTATTTGAAAGATATTTTGTATTCATTTATTTATTTTGCTCTTTTGTCAAAGATCAGCAGATTATATTTATGTGGGTTTATTTCTTGGCTCTCCTCTGCTCATTGGTATATTTGCGTATTCTTTTACTAATATCACACTGTCTTGATTAAATTACATTTATTCTTTATTCTGAAAGTCAGGAAGTATGAATCTTGATTATATTTATATGGATCTGTTTCTTGGCTCTCCTCTGTTTACTGGTATATTTGCCTATTCTTTTACTAATATCACACTGTCTTGATTAAATTACCTTTATTTTTTGTTCTTAAAGTTAGGAAATATGAATCTTCTAACTTTATTTATCTCCTTCCATATTGTGTTAGCTATTTTGTGTCTTTTGTCTCTCCCTATAAAATTAGAATCACTTTGTTGATATCCACCAAATAATTTGCTGAGATTTTGGTCAAGGTTTCTTTGAATTTAGAGATCAATTGGGAAAGAACTAAAATCTTGAAGAGTATTGTATCTTCCTGTCCATGCACATGGAGTTCCTCTCCATTTATGTACTCTTCCTTTGATTTTATTCATCAGAGTTTGTCCTCATATAGGTTTTTACATGTTTTGTTGGATTTATATCTATCTCATTTTTTTTATTGGAGATTCAAATGGTATCGTGTTTTTAATTTCAAATTCTAGTTACATATTGCTGGTATATGGGAAATGATTGACTTTTGTGTATTAGCCTTGTATTCTACAATCTTATTATAATTACATATTAGTTCTAGGAGTTTTCTGGTAATTCCTTCGGATTGTTTACATAGGCAATTCTGTTCAATCTGCAAATAATAACAGTTTTTTTTTCCTTCCCAATCTTTACATCTTTTATTACCTTGTCTTGTCTTATTGAAATAGCTAGAATTTCCAGTACAATTTTGAAAATGAGTGGTGAGAGGGGATGTACTTGATCTTAGTGGAAAAGCTTCCCTCTCCTTTAGTATGATGTTAGCTGTAGGCTTTTTTGTAGATGTTATTTCAAGTTGAAGGAATTCCCCTCTATTCCTAGTTTACTGAAGGTTTTTAATCATGAATAGATGTTAGATTTTGTCAAATGTTTTACTTTTCTGCCTCTATAAATATGCTTATGTGATTTTTTTGGTAGCCTGTTGATGTGATAGAATACATTAATTGATTTTTGAATGTTGGAACAGACTTGCATACCTGTGGTAAATCTCACTTGGTGATAGTGTATGACTCTTGTTATATGTTGCTGGATTCAATTTTCTAATATTTTGTTGAACATTTTACATCTCTGTTCATGAGAAGTATTGGTGTGTAATTTTCTTGTAATGTCTTTGGTTTTTGTATTAGGATAATGCTGGCCTCATAGAATATGTGAAAAAGTATTTCCTCTGCTTCTATTTTCTGAAAGAGATTATAGAGGATAGGTATAATTTTTTCCCTTAAATGTGTGGTAGAATTCACCAGTGACCTTTCAGGGCCTGGCACTTCCTGTTTTGGAAGGGTCTTGAATTTTATTCAATTTCTTTAATTGATATAGGCTTATTCATATTGTCTATTCCTTCTTGTGTGAGTTTAGGTAGATTGTGTCTTTCAGATAAATGGTTCATGTTGTTTAGGCAATCAAATAGGGGCTTATAATTTTTTCTTAAAGAACAAGTGTTTTGTTTTATTGATTTATTATATTGATTAACTTGTTTTTAATTTCATAAATTTTTGCTCCAATTTTTATTACCTCTTTGGTTTTGCTTACTTAGGATTTAATTTCCTTTTCCTTTACTAGTTTCCTAAAATGAAAGTAGATTGTTGATTTTAGATCTTCTTTCTTTTTTTAATGTTTATTTATTTTGAGAGAGAGAGAGAAAGAGAGAGAGAGAGGGAGGGGCAGAGCAAGAGGGGGAGAGAGAGATAGAATTACAAGCAAGCCCCACACTGTCAACACAGAGACCAACATGAGGCTTGATCTCATGAACAGTGAGATAATGACCTGAGCTCTTGGGACTGATGTGTGTTCTGCTGTTATTAGATGAGGTAATCTTTAGAAGAATTATAAAAATTTTAGTTAGTACTGCAATTATTAGAGCTTGGAGTTGAGGCTGCCGGCTGGACAATGAAATCACAAGTGTAGGTAGTATGCCACATGACAGGCATAAAAAGCCTAACAGGAAAAAAGCCTAACTCTAAAGAAATAAATCAGGGGGGCCTGAGTGACTCAGTTGGCGAAGCATCTAACTCTTGATTTCCACTCAGGTCATGATCTGACCATTCCTGAGATTGAGCCTTGCATTGGGCTCTATGCTGAGAGCAGAGACCATGCTTGGGATTCTCTCTCCTCTCTCTGCCCCACCCCCACTCTGGTCTCTCTCTCTCTCTCTCTCTCTCTCTCTCTCTCTCAAAGTAAATAAAAATAGAAATTTTTTTAAAAAAAGGAAATAAAGTATGTTATTCACTGCCAAGGACCAGTAAGTGGGGGATGGGTTGACTATTGGAGATAAGAGGGATTTTGTTGTGATGATGGAAATAGTCTACACATTGATTGAGATAGTGGTTATTTGGCTGTATAGATTTAGGTAGAACTTCATCATCTACACTATAAAAATGATGCATTTTACTCTGCAAATTTTCATCACTACATGTGATTTATAAAATAATGCATGGTGTGATTGTGTCTCAGTATTATACCCCAAGTAATGCTAGCTTTAAAAAGTATATTCAACATGAAGAGAATTCATTATAGAAAGAAGTGTTTTAGAAATGCTGGATTTGAAGTAAACAAAAAATGAGGTTTAATCTCAGCTTTGCTTTTCAACTATATGATCTCAGATGAGTCATTTCACCTCCCTCAGAGATCTCAGTTGTTAAAGGAAACATATCTATGCCCTCTAACTCCCTTAAGAACACCATTAAACAGTATTTAAAAATATCAAGGAGGAAACAGCAGCACAGCAAATGTCCATCAAACTTAAATACGGCATGTTGTTAATTATATTCAATACCTTCTCATCTTGGATAAGAATGTTAAAAACTCATGCTTGCTTCAGCAGCACATATACTAAAATTGGAATGATACGTGGAAGATTAGCATGACCCCAGTGCAAAGATGACACACAAATTCATGAAGCATTAAAAAAAAAAAAAAAGAATACTAAAAACTCCAGTGAGATAGCCTTTAAATTTGTAATGGGCTCCCATATAAAAGAAAAGCCTCCCTTTTTTGTTTGTTTCAATTAGTTAGATTGAAGATATAAAATGGAATATTACTGGTTAATTAAGAAGAATTTCTGAAGAGTAATGAAATAAGGCCTTATATTCTCTCACCGTTCTTTCATTCAGGACATATAAGCTACCTGCCTAGCACCCAACTTAATCCTATTATATAAGTACCTGATCTATGTATTGTTTAAATAGGAGGAGATTCTTGGATTTTCCTGTCACTGAATGTTTCCACTTCAGAAACCAATTTAGCCAGATTCTTACTCTTTTGTCCCTCCCACAACCACGGTGATATCATGTAGACCAACCTTGTATATAGACCTGCAACAATGCTTTCCAAGTTCCCTTGGTTTCTGCTAATTATCCAATCTTTTGTTGATTCCCGGTGCCATAAATATTCTTCCACCAAACTTTTTTCCTTTTATTTTATCCTGGTAAGTGTTAGTTTATGTTGCCTACAGTAATAACCTTGCTATATACTATAGTAAACAAGTGTTATTGGCATCAAGGAGATTATTATTTTGGTTGATTCGCAAATTATAATTGATCATTTGTCAAGTAAGTGAATCTATTAAAAGAAAAATGAATAAAAGACTTACATTTGATCATGATTATGTTTAAAAAAATCAAACTTACCCTCATACCTTAAAAACAGAACAAAATAAAATACAAAATATATGAAATAATAGTTTTCAGATAATGAACAGCTATGGAAGACAATGATCCTTGCAAAAAGAAAAACAAATGTAGTGAGCTTTGCATGTCCCCAAAAGGGAAGTGTAGAGACGACATACTCAGATAGAACCCAACAATCTCCTTGCATGAAAGTGGGAGTGTCTGAATTTGTGGAAGTCAAGTGGTCTCGAATTAATGGAGCAGAGGGCCAGGAAGAGAGCTGCACACAAAGAGAGCATAGAACCAAAGAGAGTTCTCAAGTTTTCACTTGAGTAATAATAAGTGCATGTATGTGAGCAAAAGCCCTGAAACCAGGGAGAGTCATATAGGAAGAATGTGGCACAAGGCCATGGGTAATTTATATTCCAGCCAGAGTGATAAGATCTCCTAAAACAAGGGACATTGGTAGAGATTTCAGAAGGGAATTGCTTTAGTACTGGTGCATAATTCACTCTTTATTAAATGCTATTTTGGAACTGCCTGAGAAAGCTTAGACATAAGCCTGGAAATAATGGATCAAATTATTCCCAAGCAACTGCATCATGGAATTAAGCCTCAAAACATTTAAAGAAACACACACACACACACATACACACACGCACACACCCCTCCAACACCAAAAACATAAAATTCTCAATTGCATTCAATAAAATTAAGAAGCATAGAAAATCAGAAAATATGACCATGATGAGATGAAAAATCAGTCAATAGAAGTAGAACTGAATTTGACACAGATAATAGAATTTCAAATAGGAATGATAAAAAAAAGCTATTCTAAATGTATTCTATATTTTCAAGTAAATAAAGGAACGCATGAGCATGCTAAGGCAAGAAACAGAAGATATAAAAAGATCAAGATCACACTACTAGAGATGAAAAATAGAATATCTTGGGTGGAAACACATAGGATCAAAAGGAGACAAGGGGTGCCTGGGTGGCTCAGTTTGTTAAACATCTGACTTCAGCTCAGGTCATGATCTCACAGTTCGTGAGTTTGAGCCTCACGTCGGGCTCTGTGCTGATAGCCCAGAGCCTGAAGCCTGCTTCAGATTCTGTGTCTCCCTCTCTCTCTGCCCCTCCCCTGCTTGACACTGTCTCTTTCAAAAATAAACATTAAAAAATTAAATTAAAACAAAACAAAACAGAAAAACCAAAGGAGAGTAAACACTGCACAATATTAGTGAATTTGAAGACATATAAATGGTATCTACAAAATGGAAAATGAAAAAAAAAAAGACTGAAAACTAAAATGCACAGAAAATCAGTGAGCTGTAACAAAATATTAAACAACTTAATGTATGTATCTTTAAAGTCTCACATAATTATACAAGTCATCTGGTTGGTAAGTTGAGGGTTGTTCGCTCTAAAATTATTTCTGTTGAGATGACCCATCTCTGGTCTACATGATCTCTCATTTGCCAGTGGGATAGCCCAGGCTTGCTCAAAGGTGGAACAGACTCAAGAAAATGAACAGAAATGTGCAATATCTCTTAATGGATTTGGACCAAGATCAGTGTCATATCAACTTTGTTATTTTTTCCAAAGCAAGTCCAAGGTCAGCCTGGATTCAATGAGGTGGGGAAATGGACTCCAGCTTTTGATGACTCCACATTGCAGGAGATGTTGGCACAACAGGGGAAGCGTGAGGGCATGTTTTGTTTTTTACAATCTATCATATATGTTTTAATAATAATCGACAAACCTGTTATGTTGAGTGATACTTTACAGTCTCAATATTATTCTCCAATTTCTGTTTCAAACAATAAATAGTTTGGTTCAGACATAAAGAAAAGATTTGGTCTCAGCAATACTTTCATTTTCTAAGGGCCTATCCTGTGAATACATTTCTACTTTGAGTGATCATGCTTCTTTCCACATTTTTCCTAATATTTTATATTCCTACCTACTTAAAGTAGAGTTGGACATGAGATACTTCTGATTTTCGTAGTATCTAGTAATATTTTAAACCCAAATTGTGTATCTCTCAAACAATCACGCAGCCAATATTTGATTTGGGAAAAATTAGAAGACATTTTACTTCAATTTCTAAGTGGAACCACTTTGAATATAAGACACTATAGAACTGAATTGCCTGAATGATGTACACCATTCCAGTGTAATGCCACCATGAGCTAATAGTTGTGACTCAAATCTCTAAATGTCAAACACTCTAGGCTTGCTTTGAAAAGCTCCATATATGCTACCATCCATGCACTATACAAAGATAAAATAGAAGAGCCCAGGAATTTCCTATAATTATATAATTCATTCTCTTTATCTAAAAATAAAGTCAGTTAGAAAAGGAGTTTGAACATTCAGAAGAAAAATAACACATTTAAAACCTTAATTGGTTCTTTATTGGGAAATTATTTTCAGCGAGTTGGTATAATATTTTTTCCATTGAATAAAATGGAGAAAGCTGACAATCCATGAATAGTGAATAATTTGCCAAGGTGGGAGAGTTAGGAAAAAGATACTTTAATTATTATTTTACTGTAAATTACTTCTTATTTAACTTTGAGATATCTGCATTCCAAATGTTTCGCCCTAATTGCGCCTCAGGGACTGATGTATCTAGACTCACATTTCTAACTCCCAGGTCCAGAGGGTGGTGGACTTTCATTTGTTTAGCTACCCTTTGCCTTTGAACACCCTCTCTCTTCTGTTAATTGTCCAGTTTGTGAATCTTATCTTCCCAAGGCAGAAGACAGAAAACTTGCGTTGCCAGATTCCAGTGAAACTGGAATTCATGCATACAACTTCGGTTTCACCGCCAGATGAACTAACAAAACAGATTCAGCAGTGAGTAATATGAGAGAATAAATCTTCTAACAAATGCATTGTAAAACCCATCTGGTTCTTCAAGGGAGACAATAGCAGAGATTTTGGCTTTTAATTTGTAGCATAGGTGCCTAGAAATAGAGACATACGCTGTAATTAGCAAACCGCACACGTGCTTGGTTGGGCTGCAGGTTAAAGTAGAGGATACCCAGTTAAATCTGAATTTCATATCTATAATAGTTTCTTACTATACACATGGCCCAAATATTATTTCACTTTTACTTTTCAAAAAAGAAGTATCTGTTTTTAATCTGCAATTCAACCGTTAGTGGGCGCCCTGTATTTTAATTTGCTAAATCTGGCAACACCATTGTGCGGGCACATCTAACTACTTGGCCTCAGAGTGGATTCATACTCCTTCTTGAGACTCTGTGAGCTTCCTAAAATAACTTTAGAAAATTGCTTTTGGCTACCTAGAGTTTATTTTATTACTTAGTGAATAAAGTTGTGATGACAAAGACTCTTTGATATAGTACAGAAGGAGCCCGAAGAGTTACAGAAATAGAAATAGTTTAGAATAAACTTTGCATGTACAACCTACTTGGCATTTCCCGAGGAGAAGCAAAATGCTCTCTTCATCAAGGCAGTGGAAATTAACACTTTTCAGTGAGGCTAGCGTCATTAAGAAAGGCTGGAATTGCTGTCCTTTGGAAGCCAAAATACAGTTGGTAGGTGATGCCTTGAAATTAACTTTATGATTTTAATGAAGAGGATGAACTTTGAGGTGACGGAGGCCTCTGTCACTGTGCCTCTGAAATGTTCTCCAGTAATTATGCCCACCTGGCCATGACTAGTGTTAAGCACTGCAAAGTGAGGGTAGTTATGTAAATAGGTTTCAGAACCAGGGATGACGAGCAGAATGACCCCAATACCCCGTGATCCTTGGCTGTGACTAACTTAGCATTTGTACTTGGCACTAAAGGAAATGGAGTCTAAAAATGAATCTCTAAGAATTATTTTTATGCAAAGAGATCGAACTAGTTTCAACATCAAAGAGTCAGAGATTCACGAGAATTTCTAAGAGGCAGTATGGAAAAGGGAAGTTTGAATAACCTCAAGGAAGAAGTCCGGAACAATGTTGCTCAAACATTCTATAACCCTTCCAGCTAGCTTTCTCCAAAGGCATCTGTAACTAGGGTAATTGTGCCCAGGGAAGAGCCAAGTACACAGAATATTCAGTGACTGACCCTGATACTGAACTAACACAGATTCCTGGCTTAACTGCACACAACTGCAGTTTATAGGTTTTTTGGGGTCAGGTAGTAAATAGAGTGTGGCCCAAATTGTCCCTTAAAATGGTGTAATTGGTCTATATATTCTGTGGTTATATCTCAAGTTCTAATGTATGCTTAGAGGAAACGTAATCAGCAATTGACTGTATCCACATTAACTTTTTGACTCATGGG